TCTGTTTTTTCATTTCCTTGATGTAGCTGAGACATTAATCAGTTTTATAAGAAATAATGCATTCCACTATGAAATTATTAAATGAGCTCCCCTCTTCCAGGGACAAAAAGAAGGGAGCAGTTCAGCTACTTGAAGAAACCAAATGGTATGTTGAGGCAAATTAAAACCAGAGAGGCAGTTGGAGAAGCCCAGAAGAGTAATACAGGTGTCAAAATACAGACACATCAGGGGAAAAGAATGCAAAGCTCCTGCCAGGGCTCTGTCTTAACCAAGCATCCAATTATCTTTTGGCTGCAAGGGAAGTGGAGTCAGGGGAAAGGCAGTGTCACCAGATTAAATGAGGGATGGCTGGTTTTTCAGAGCCAGTTGGGGATGGGGTGAGGGAGGAAATGCAAAGTACGTGAGTAAAGACTTCTGGTTGCTTGGGTCAGATGGTCTATGTAAGGAAGTGATGAATGATACAACTGAATACGGAAAGCAAAGGCCTTGAAAGATAGCAGGGGGGCCCTTGATAAAATATATTTTATATGGTTTACAGCTTAAAAAAATAGAAGAACAAGCATCATTCCTTCATTTAGTTATTCACTGAATAAACATAAATCCAGTGTTCAATGTTGGGAAATCAGAGATTAAAAACACTTATGTCGGCCAGGCGTGGTGGCTCACACCTGTAATCCCAGCAGTTTGGGAGGCTGAGGCGGGCAGATCACTTGAGGCAGGAGTTTGAGACCAGCCTGGCTAACATGGTGAAACCCTGTCTCTACTAAAAATACAGAAGTTAGCAGGGCGTGGTGGCGGGTGCCTGGTAATCCCAGCTACACAGGAGGCCAAGGCAGGAGAATGGCTTGAACCCGGGAGGCAGAGGTTGCAGTGAGCTGAGAATGCGCCACTGTACTCCAGCCTGGGTGACAGGGTGAGACTGTTTCAAACGAACAAAAAGAAACAAAAACACAAACACCAAAACAAAACAAAAAACACTTATGTCATCCTGAGAGAGTTCCCAGTTTATGTGTAGTTGAGGAACCACATAAACAAAAACATTATAATGCATTGGGTTGAGTGCAATCATAGAAGGTTGTGGAAGCACCCATAAAGGCTTGCAGAAAGAGCTGATGTGTGAGCTGAGCCTTGAAGGGTGTCTAGGAGTTAGCAATGGGAAGAGAGTGGAAAGGATGCTCTCCTGGAAAGGGACTAGCAACCAAAAGACACCGCATGTGAGCAAGGGGGCCAAGAAAAAAGTCAGCACTATGAGAGGATGAAGAGGCAAATACAGGAGTTAGAAAAGTGCCTTTGAATAGGAATGAGATTTACTGCAAGCTTCTTGTCAGCCACAGAAGAAAGAGGAGTGTGACAAAGTTGCATCATTCTGATCCTCAGAAAGGGTGAGCACTAGCTTCTCATGGACCCCAAATCGACACAGGCTTTTGATTAGGAAATACAGAGTTAAAAACGAACAATTTTTTAAAAAGGCAACAAACTGCTACTGAATAGCCAATTATATTACCCCAAATCAGTATCATTGGAAAGGGGCACATTTGGCTTGAACCCAGATTACAAAATATCAGAGGGAAAGCATCAAAAAGCTTCAGGTTTCACCCAATTTAGGGAGCAAGTGACCAATTTAGAAGCTTTAATTTCTGGGACTTTAGGAATTCCATTGACCCAACTATATTTCCTCTAAATAACATCAGAAGCCCCAATATAAAAACACAAAAGTGACAATGTCTTCAAGAAAATAAAGTAAGACCCATTAATTTTACACCTTGCTCAGACACCAAAACAAACAAACAAACAAAAACCAGAAAAATATTTTTGAATGTGTAGTCCTTGTGAATTTTTCTTGAAGAAACCACTGGAATATGATGTTTAGTCAACAAAGAGATGACTGGAGAATTCATAGCAAAAAAAAGAAAGAAAGAAAGAAAGAAAAAAAACCCCACCCCGTTAGGATTATACTGAGTAGAATAAAGACTAAATGAATAAGAGTATTTTAGCTACAAAACAAAATACAAATGCTACATACATTACCAATGTAGAAACTATATAAATTACAATAGTTGAGAAAGAAGGATGAGAAAAAAATTAAGTGTAAGTATGTTCTTATGTTCTTATCCTTTATAACCAGGAGTAAAAAGATATCATTTAAACACGATAATTTTTGGAAAGTCATTCAACTAAAATTGGTGAGTAGGGTAAGGGAAGATGTGGACATGCATCAATTTTATCACTGTTATAGAAATTCAATTGACACTGTCTAAAGAAAGACAGCATTAAGTGTATTATGTTATTATAATTTTGAAGAACTTATCCAGAAGATATACATTAAACCTTCCAAATGATCTGAATACAACACACACTGTATAGAGAAAAAGTTTTTTAAAAGTAAAGAAAGTATATACAAACAGCAAGCATAACATGATGCCAATATTAAATGTATCTGATGTGGCAATAACTATAAATGGCTTAACTTCTATACTTTAAAAATACATCTGGGTTTGACCAGGCACGGTGGCTCATGCCTATAATAGGCTCACGCCTATAATCCCAGCACTTTGGAAGGCCAAGGCAGGCGGATCATGAGGTCAGGAGTTCGAGACCAGCCTGGTCAACATGGTGAAACCCCGTCTCTACTAAAGATACAAAAAAATTAGCTGGGCGTGGTGGCGTGTGCCTGTATCCCAGCTACTTGGGAGGCTGAGGCAGGAGAATTGCTTGAACCCAGGAGGCGAAAGTTGCAGTGAGCCAAGATCATACCATTGCACTCCAGCCTAGATGACAGAGCGAGACTCCCATCTTAAAAAAAAAAAAAAAATCCAGATTTTACAAAGCAAAATTCAATTATATGCTGAGAAAAAAAAAAAAAAAAAGAATTAGGAAAGGCACACCAGGAAAAAAAATGGATAAGTAAAAATAAGAGCAGAAAGTAATTCAGGTAAATAATTGTTGAACTAAAAAAAAACCTTTTTTTGTGTGTGTGTTTTTTCATTTTTTTTTTTTTTTTTTTTCCTGAGACAGAGTCTCTGTCATTCAGGCTGGAGTGCAGTGGCGCCATCTTAGCTCACTGCAACCTCCACCTCCCATGTTCAAATAACTCTCCTGCCTCAGGCTCCTGAGTAGCTGGGATTACAGGCATGCACCACCACACCTGGCTAATTTTTGTATTTTTAGTAGAGACAGGGTTTTACCATGTTGGCCAGGCTGGTCTCAAACTCCTGACCTGGTGACCCACCCACCTTGGCCTCCCAAAGTGCTGGGATTGCAGGCGCGAGCCACCATGCCCGGCCAGAATAAACTGTTTTTAAGGGAGGAACAACAAATAGGTAAACTCTATCAGATAACCAACTCAGGAAAAACAGAGAGAACATACAAATTTAGATCATAAGAGGCAAACCACTACTGACAAAAGAAATTGAAAATATGAGACTACTTTGCTTTTTGCAAATAAATTGGAAAGCAGAATAAAATAAGTAATGATAATGAAGGATTATCTAGGAATACATAGATTACTAAAACTGACCTGTAAGAAATAAAACATCTGAAAAGATCAAATTCCCTAAGTTGCTTATGTTTGCATTCACACACACACACACACACACACACACACACACACACACACACACACACACACACACACACATATTAAGAGCAGAACTGGATTCCAGTTTTTAGGGTCTCAATACTTAAAAAATTTTGTTGTTCTCTTCATAAATAAATATAAAAATATTGAAATAAAAATAGCAAAGTGAGGCTGGGTGAGGTGGCTCACGCTTGTAATACCAGCACTTTGGGAGGCTGAGGCAGGTGGATCACCTGAGGTCAGGAGTTCAAGACCAGCCTGGTCAACATGAAGAAACCCCGTCTATACTAGAAATACAAAAAATTAGCCAGGCGTGGTAGCATGTGCCTGTAATCCCAGCTAGTTGGGAGACTGAGGCAGGAGAATTGCTTGAACCCGGGAGGCAGAAGTTGCAGTGAGCCAAGATCACAACACTGTACTCCAGCCTGGGCAACAGAGCAAGACTCTGTCTCAAAAAAAAAAAGCAAAGTTAATGTTTGTTTGGAAAGAAGATATAAAAAAGGATAAATTACAAGCAAAATAGTAAACCCAAATGCAAATATTGCAAAACTCAGGTAAATAATGTAGTATTTTTATTAAACAATACATCCATACTGTACTTTTGCAACAGTTTTTGGTGGCATACTTTGTTATCTCTTCATATGATAGTGCTTTTTGAGGATCATTTTCTATAGAAAGATGAGAAAGGCGATTTGGTCTTTCCTCTAGCAATATTAATTCAAATTTTTAAATTATTGTCTCTTAGAGTTTTTTTTTAGCTTCACAACTCATTACTGATAATATAAAAGTATGTTAGGATTATTGGCAAGTTTTGGAAAACCACCGTATTTTTTCCTATATGAGATATGTATTTTCAGGTATTTTAAGTTTTCTTATGCAATGACTAATCTTAAGTACTGTTTGAATTTATATCGCTCATTACCTAGAACAATTTAAAGCATTTTAAAATTTCTTCTGTATTACATTGAACTGCATAACTGTGTAATCAAATTGCTCATAAGCAACATGCATTGACATATTGATAAATATGTGTGGTTTTGTCACTGGAATACTTGTTTATTCAGGCTCTTTCAGGTTTGGGTAGTAATCTGGCATGCCATTTGTCTGGAATTGCTCAACTTTGCTAAGGTTCTATTCAATATATAGGGACACAAAAGCAGACAAATGCCATTCTACTTCACATACAGATGTATTTGCTGTTTTGAGTATTGCTGCAGATTTGTGCCCTACGTAGGAGAATTTTAAGTTCTATTTTGTGCAGTTTGATTTTTTAAAGTGTGATGCTTTTTTAAGTGAATATGCTACATTATTGAGGATTTTTCTTTCAGGGTAATCTTCCATTTTGACTGGTATTGGTTGAAAACAAGTTCTTTGCTTACACATTTACGTGTGTGACAATTGAAATTTTTTTTCTTTTTTACAGATTACATTGTGATTCCCTATACTTCAAACTTGGTTTCTCTTTCACCCTGGATACTTGCAGAGCCGGGCACCACTCATGTGATAATGCCAGGTGAGGAAATACCCTGGGGAGTAGGAGTACTTTGGAAGCCAAGACTACACACCAAATCTGGCAACAGTAAATAACAAAACACAGAAGTTGGTTGACTATGGTTGATTGAAAACCGTAGTGTTTGTGCGTGTGCGTTGTATCCTGTTAAAATCAAACTAAATGTATGTCTGACTGAACTTTCTTATTGCAGGCTGGATTCTCTAGAAGCAGATGCTGGGAGGCTATTTCGGGTGCAAGGTGTTTGTTAGGAATCAACAGCTGTGATGGGAAGTGGGATCGCACAAAGGAAGACATCAACAGTGCTGTAGAGAGCCCTCCAGACGGTAGCATTTGTCAGAGTATTCTCCATTGGGCTGAAATGCCTGGGCATTCCTGTTCTTCTCACTCAATCACCACGTGAGGGGGCTGCCCTGGCAAGGGTAGCGTACTCAGCAGGGAGGCTCTCCCCAAAGGAGTCGGCAGCTGCAGACTGCTGCCCACACTTCCTGCAGGTGAGATGCAACTCCTTTCTTAAAGGGGGATTTGAGCGGCCTAGTTTCAAGTCTACCACGTTCCCTTTAGCCAGAGCCCCAAAAATGTCTGCAGTCCCTCCAGCGCCACCTGACAGAAACAGAAGGCTAATGTAGAAATTAGCATGGAGATAGTGGCCTAAGCCAATTGTGACTAAAACATCTCACTTTACAGATTTCACAAAAGCATATGATCATGTGGACAAATTGCTAGGGCCCTTTCAGGGACTTATTAGGATCCCATGCAAGGGGCCCTGAAACTTAAGTTCACTAGCATCCACTAAACCTGGGAGTATAGTCAAAGTGTTACATCCCTCAAAGCAACCACCCCAGATGATTTCACAGAATAATTCCACCAAACCTTTAAGGACCAGGGTAATCCAATGCGACCTAAACTGTTCCAGAACGCAGAAGTATAAAGCAGTTTTTGAAATTCTCCTTTTTGAATTTAGCATAATATTGAAACCTAAACCATAAATAAAGAGAAAAAAAAAGTAAATTGCAGAACAAACTAATTTACCTGTATTGATAACAAACAGAATCCAGAATGCATTAAATAAGTAATACTATAATCAAGGGGGTCTTAATCCCAGTGTATTGAAATGTTAGGGAATCCATCCATGTAATTCATCAGGGAAACAGATCAAAAGAAAAAATTATATAATTATTTCTAAAGCTACTGAAAAGGTATTGGATAAAATTCAATAGTTCACTTTAATAAAACTTTAATAAAAAGATAAATGCTTATTTATATGACATACAACTATATGAATATATATTTTAAAGGTACCTTAATCTGAAAATCAACATCACGCCTAATGAAGAAACAATAGACTCATTAAATTCAATTTCAGCAGAATTTTTTGGGGGAATCTAGATAAGTTGAGTATAAAATTAATATGGAAATTAGGCAAGCAGAGAGAGTTAAAACAATGCTAGGAAAGAAGAACGATTAAGGGAATCTAGGTTTTCCATTTATTAAAACATGTTATACATCTACACTAATTAAAGCAATGTGGTATTGCTCTATGCATGCACAGACAGGTCAGTGAAATATACCAGAAAGAGCAGAATATAAACGCAAATATGTATGAGAACTTAATTTTTTTTTTTTTTTTTTTTTTTTTTTTTTTTTTTTTTTTTTTTTGAGACGGAGTCTCGCTCTGTCACCCAGGCTGGAGTGCAGTGGCGCGATCTCGGCTCACTGCAAGCTCCGCCTCCCGGGTTCACGCCATTCTCCCGCCTCAGCCTCCGAGTAGCTGGGACTACAGGCGCCCGCCACCGCGCCCGGCTAGTTTTTTTTTGTATTTTTAGTAGAGACAGGGTTTCACCATGTTAGCCAGGATGGTCTCGATCTCCTGACCTCGTGATCCACCCGCCTCGGCCTCCCAAAGTGCTGGGATTACAGGCTTGAGCCACCGCGCCCGGCCGAGAACTTAATATATGAAAAAGGGATAAAACCAACTTCAAAAAGTGGAGTTGGGAAAATGGGGTAGCCATCTGAAAAAATATATATATCTTGCTGGCTCCTGACCTCACCCACACTTGAAAATAAGCTCCATATTTTTAAAAGATTCAATACAAATTGAAACCATAAAATACTAGAAGAAAATATGGAAGAATTTTTTTAAATTAATCTTGGAGAAAGGAAGTCATTTCCTAGAACACAAAACCAACATGAAACATAAATTTAACCACATAAATGTAAACATAGAATTCCACAAAGAAAAAAATAAGCATAAATTCAAAGACAAAGCACAAATTAGGGGCAAATATTTGCAACTCAGACTGCAAGTATAGAAATTATCTATTTAATAGAGAGAATCTACAAATCAACATAAAAGAGATAAAAACACCTAAAAGAGAAATAGGCAAAACAGTTTATAAAATAGGAAATACAAATGGTTTTTACACATATAAAAAGATGCTCAGCCTAATAATAAAAGAAATGCAAATTAGAACTACAATGAGGTATCACTTTTTGCCTATCGAATTGGTAAAGTTAAGAACATTTAATAACATTCTGTGCCAGCATGGTGTGTGGGGAAATAGAAACTCTCCCGTAATGGGAAAGTCATCGCACATCCTCCTTGGAGGGCAATTTGACAATATTGATTGACTTCACAAGTGTCTGTCTCCTGTAATCCAGCAATTCTACTTCTAGAAATTTATCCTCTTAATACAAAATGGTTAAATATCTGCATTTGTATATGGTCCAATGTAACACTTGAAAATGATCAAAGTAATGAGTGTGCCAAGAAATCATGCAATAGAAATAAGCAAAGTGTCCATCAATAGGGGATTAGATAAATATGTTATGACACATCCTTTCCGTGGAAGACTGTGCAGATACATCTTTTTAAATATTTTGATTTATACTGGTGTGAAATGATTCCATGTTGTATTATTTAATTAGCAAAATAGTATGCATAGTGTGATTTCATTTGAGTAAAATATAAAAAAGAATACCTTTATGTATATTTTCCTGTATATGCAAAATTTTTCCTTGCATGATACATAAAGAAATTATTATATTGGTTGCCTTTAGGAAGGAAATCTAGGTAGCTGGGGGCAGAGATGCAGAGATACTCCTCTAACTTTTGCAAAAACGAAAATTGCAAATAAAGAAATATGCTAAGACATGAACCTTGATAATATGAAAATTTGATTTTTGGTTATATAGACATAGAGTAGTTACACTGGATGCTAAGCATAGTTCTGAGTTTCAGGTGGCAGCAGAAAATAAAATGGACACATTCCCTGCCCTCTAGTGATGATATTCTAATAGGGGTAGAAAGACAGTACATGAAGAAGTTTATAAACATCAAGAAGTAACAAATGCCATGAATGGAAATAGAGAGGAAATATGCAGGGTGGTCAGGGAAGGTCTCTCTAGTAAGAAGGTAGAGCAAAAGCCTCAAGGAGGTTAGGGTTCTGATATAGTTTGGCTTTATGTCCCCAATCCAAATTGTGATCTCCATGTGTCGAGGGAAGGATCTGGTGGGAGGTAATTGGATCATGGTGACGGTTTCCCCTATGCTGTTCTTGTGATAGTGAGTTCTCATGAGATCTGATGGTTTAAAAGTGTGTGTCTTCCTTCACTCTCTCTCTTCTGCCACCTTGTGAAGAAGGTACTTGCTTCTCCTTCACCTTCTGGCATGATTATGTTTCCTGAGGCCTCCCCAGCCATGCAGAGCAGTGATTCAATTAAACCTCGTTTCTTTGTAAATGACCCAGTCTCAGGCATGTCTTTATAGCAGCGTGAGAATGGATTAACCCAGGTGCCATCAGAATCCATGTGGGGAAGATCCTTCCAGACAGAGAGAAAGCAAATGCTGAAACCCTGAAGCATGAGTCTCAGGAGTGTTTGAGAAACAGCAGAGACCAGTGGGGCTGGAGAGGGTAATGGGGATGATAGGAGCTCAGAGCAGAATGTTGATGGGGGGAAATCATGTTGGTCTGTAGGCCAGAGTAAGAATATTAAATTAATAGTCATCTCCACTCTAGTTTCAGCTCTTAACAAGGAACAAAGTTTGATGGAGAACAAAATGCAAAGATCACGAGGACCCAGAGCCCAGAAAGGAATATAGAGAGGGAATCCCTGGGAAGAGAAGAGGGCACAGCACTGAGAGGTAAGGGTTGAAAGGAATGAGCTTCGCTGTATCTTTTGAAAAGTGACTGGAGCACTTGAAGATGGTCAAGGAGCGCCTTAGACCAGGACTCAAATGTTTAAATGGCAGTTAAATGAACATGGAATTAGACCTACTATGTATATTCACACTGATATCAGTCCCTACATAATCAATTGGTTTTTATGTCATCTTTTCTAGAAGTAAAAATTTTTAACTAACAAGAGATCCTTGATGCTCACCTCCTCCAGATAAACACTGGGGATCTTTATTGATTTTGAGAGTCTCACTCAGCTGAACACATATTGTAAACCCTTTTATAGATCCTAAGTGTTTACTGGATAAGGACTAGGACCTTTTCAAGTATGTTATCAACAGTCTTATGAGAAGTCTTTCTGAAGTTTGCTAACTTGTAGCCATGGGTCTCTCCTATGCTGAACAATGAAATGTCTTATCTTCCCTACATATGTGTCTCGAGGCTCTGTCACTCCTGTGGAAAACAAGGCAACTATTGGAGGGATATTGGATTAAACTCAGGTATAAAAGGAAACTTCTAAAATTTTTCATTAAGGAATTGCACTGTGGTGCGCATGAGCCCCTGGGATCACTCTTCTTCTTCAGTGCAATTCTTATAAACAGCAAAGACTTCTTTTTTCAAATGGGTGAAGTTTATAGGAGAATAAATTGACTCAGTGTAAGATTGAACTTTCTGATATAACACTTGAACAATGGGACATGATGCTTTGAAAAGTAGAGACTATTCAAAAAGAATGCAATGACCACTTTCCAGAGATGTTAAAGAAGGAATTCAGGAGTAGGTGGGATTTTGGATGAAATACTTTTAGGTTTCTTCCAACTCTGAGCTGCTATGAATGTGTCATTCTAAAATTCTACCTTTGCTTTTGCATTTCTGTATTTAGTATTTTGTCAGATCTCTCTGGATCTTACTCAGGGAGACAGAACTAACTAAAAATTTCACTCTTGATGGGATGGTCTGCTGAATTACAGGCAGGTTATCTCTCCAGGCTCTTCCAAGCTAGTATAGCTAGAATAAGAATCTGGATTCCAGACAAAGGAGAATACAACAGAGCGTCTTAGACTGAGCTTGCCAGAAGCAAGGCCTGAGATAAGCAAGCATTCCTAGGAGACAGTGGTAAGAGAGGCAGGAAGCAGGACAGGAAATGGGCAGAAGTCAAGCCAGAGTCCCAGACTCAATCTGATCCCACAGGGACCTCTGGAGTGTAAACTACATTTCAGAGTTTACCCCAACTTAAGGCAAGGATACTGGGCTTCCATATTCCCACATAAGTCGGTCATTGACTAAGATATTAACACATAGGCTTTCTGTGCTCATGGGGAAGAAGGCTTCAGTAACATAAGAGAAGACCCAACAAAGAGAGCTGCAGAAGCAAAAACACACAACATTCTGGGGAAGGATTCACGGTAAAGTGGTAAAGTTAAAAAGGATCCAAGGTTACCTGAGCAGAATGCTAACAGTGTCCCCCTCAAAAGTCATAGCAAATAATACACACAGCAACTTCACATCCAAGTCCTAAGACTTCTAACCATAAAAATGGTTAGAAACAAATGTATCAAAAGCAAGTTCAGATACTGAGTGCAAAATAGGTGCAAGTAGTTCCTTCAGGGTTGCAGAAGTTAATTTTGTGAGAGTGATGGAAGTTTAAATTGATGTAGTGTATTAGCCAGGATTCTGCAGAAAAACAGAACCAGTAAGGTATATACATATTTTTTATATATATATACACACACACACACATATATAATACACATATTACATATGAGTATGTATTATGTAATATGTACATACATATATACATATGTATATTAGACATGTAATATATATCTTTTAATGTATTGTATATGTGGAGAGAGAGAAAGAGATTTATTTTAAGGACTTGGCTCATGTGATTGTGGGGGCTGGCAAATCCCAAATTTGTAGAGGAAGCTGGCAGCTGAAAACACAGGAAGGAATTGATGTTGCAGTCTTGAGGCAGAATTTCTTCTCTGGAAAACTTTAGTTTTTGCTCTTAAAGCCTTCAACTGATTGGATTAGACTCAGCTACATTATCTTTACTTAAGATCAATGATTGTAGATGTTAACCACATCTACCATGTACCTTCAAGGCAAGCATCTAGATTAGTGTGAAGATGACACAGAATATTAACCATCAAATAGAATATTCTGCATATCACTGAGGGTCTTTCTAAAAGTAAAATAAATTTTGTGGATCTGAGCAATACATGCTAGAGTCAGGGAATGTCTTTCAGCCAAGTTTTCTGGTTCCCAACTACTCATATTCTTGTGTAGACCCAGGATCCTAACTTACTCATCTGCTAACCCACACTTGGGTTACGAATCTCATCACAAAGCTTGGCTTCAAGCATGACATTTAATAAATGAACCACCTGATGTTATGTTTAAGTTATGGAGTAAAGAACAAATTTATTAATGAGAACCCTGTTTAGAGTTCTTTTGGAATGAATAATCATCTCTTGACTCCAGGAAGACCTTGTGCCCATCTGTAAATTGTCATGATGTGAAAACATTGACTGAGAGGGAGGCTGCTGGGGAATAGAACCTGCAAATCACGGGGACTTGTGAGCATTGTCTTCTTTTCCTTACTGCCTGTCAGGCATTGCTATGATGAATAACACACAAGTGATGGCTATAGTTGACAATAGAAAGTAAGCTCTGACTTTAGGTTGATGGCTCTCCATTTTTTCCACCCAACACGGTTGAAGGATATAACTTCCTCCCATTAGCAACAGAGACCCTTTACAGAAGTAATGAAGGAAATATCACCCACTGAATCTTGGTGTAGAGGGAAAAAGGGAGTTACACAGCACAGTTCTGCTCTGTCTCTTCAGTGTATACTTCTATTGAGAATCATCCTTCCCAATAAGAAAATTGTGCTTTGCAATTTCCATATATGTGTTTTGAGTAGAATTGAATCTGGTAGAACTTCTATTTAAGATTGGACAGGTAGGCAAGATAAGCTTTAAGATTCCTTTCGTTGACTCAGTAACACAAGCCCTGTGATGTAAATTACAAACGGTATTCTCATTAGTGAATTTGTTCTTAGAAATCTAGAGTCAAATAGCAGCTTCTATAAGACTCTATATAGTTTATCAATGGCCACAATAATGCTGCATGACAACCAGATATTCTCTGTGGCAAATAACAGTAAACAAATTTCTGGTTTTTGAGTTTTCAGAGTTCAGCTGATCTGAACTGGGCTTAGCTGATTTTGGCTGGGTTTGCTCTCATGTCTACAGACAGTTGCAGGTCAACTAGATGCCTCTGCTGATCTTGGCTGGGCTCACTCTGAGTTCCAGAGTTGGATGGCTGTTGGCTCGTCTTGGTTGGCCCCATCTGAGATAAGTGAGGCAACTCAGTTCTGCTCCATGTGTCTCCTCCTCTAGTGGGCTAGCCCAAGTATGTTCTCGTGGCAGTTGCCTAAGTTCAAGAAGATTTCCTAAGGCTTAAGCTCAAAACTGCGCCTGGTCACTTCTGCTGCTTTCTGTTGGCCTTAGCAAGTCACAATGCCAACCATATTCAATTTTGGGCAAAATAGACTTTATCTTTCTTTAATGAGAAGGACTACAAAATTATGTGGCAAAGGGATTGATTTACATTGAGGGATGAGAAAAGGAGCCATTATTACAATCAGTCTACCATGGATTCTAAGTTATTAGCATGAAATCAAATTCTAGTAACCATATCTCACTGTCTACTCATATCAACTGGCTGTCATCCCTAGTAATATGTCAGAAATGAAATATCAGGAATGATTTTTCTTTGTCCTGAGAATCTGACATTTCAAGGGGTACTGTAACAGCTAGTGTTGGCCCAAACTCAGCTGACCCCCTGCAATATTGAGCATAAGACTGAAATACACAAAGGCTTCCCCTCCCTTCCCCTCCCCTCCCCTTCCTTCTCCTCTCCTCTCCTCTCCTCTTGTGTTCTTTGCTTCGAGGTCATAGGATGTCCTGCCTCAGTGTATTCTCTCATTACTTATATGTTATTAATATCATATTATAATTACTAGGATAATCTCCACGCTTTGCAATTGCCTGGTACTCCATAACTGCTCAATAAATATAGGCTATTATCATTATAGTACAGGTATTCAGAATAAGGTGTTGTATTTTGGAACAGATCCAAAGTTTCTTGGTTAGTAAACTATAAAAAATGGCCTCATTATAAGCCCACCTGATCCATTAAGAATGATCTCCCGGGACAATCATCTAAAATGCCAGAATAGGTGGTCCACCATAAGAGTAACCTATGAGGAACATGAGTCCAACATTCAGTCTTTTAGCAGTGAGATCTATGCCATGCATTTGTTAATGTTCATTTTATTCATTGTAGCTCCATACACTTGTTGTACAATGTAATTTTCTCATGGAACTCCATTAAAGGTGGGAAGAGGGTACATTAAACAAAACAAGAACCCCTAATTTTTTTAGCCATCAGGCATTAATTTATCAATGCTCACATACATAATTAATGGTCTCACACAGCTTGTGACAGCTGGTTTGTTGCAGCCAAAACCCAACCTTACTAAGTTAAGATTTGGAGGTGTGCCACAAGAGCCTAGTTAAACCTGTCATGAACTCCTCATTTGATATTTTAATAGGCTTTCCTGGCATGGGACCCAATTGCCTGGGCTTACTCCCGTCTCAGTCTAAAAGGTGTGAGTTCAGCTTCATCACTCTACATATCCTCATCTTGTCTCAAACACTTGGAGAACAGGGCTTTGAAAAGGTCAAATCAACATAGAAGAGAAGTTTATGCAAAAGCTTAAATAAAAACAAGATGAAAGTGCATACAGGCAACATTTAGTACTGGCAGCCCATAAAACAAACCCATGTTGCTAACTTGTCCAAATATCAACAAGTCCATTTCCCAAAACATACTGAAGAATAAAGGATTTGAAATAACAGTTCAGGGTACAGTTGTCATCTCACAGTCTGTAAGTTTGGCAGTAGTGATCTACAAAAAAACTGTAGAGACTTCTAATATATTAAACCTCTTCTCTATGTTGTATCCCATATCAATTATTTCATCTGTTTCTTGCAAATATTCGTTTGCAAAGTTGTGATTTTGCAAGGGTGTGACCGATCCAAGGACACATGGTTGATGACAGGCAGAGCCAGACTTAGAAGTTGAGTGCCTAATTCCAAGGCAAGTCTTTGCCACACTATGCGGATGAGTAATTTAGCTTACACGAGGTATTTAGAATCTAATAGGTTCTTTATGTTCATGTTGATGGCAACTGGTACTTCAAACACATATCTACATAAGTATTATTCCTTTATTACATACTGTCAGATGGGGGAAGTCAGGGTACAAATTCACCAGTGACTTCTCTCTGAGATCAGCTGCTCTGTGGGCTCCTTTTGGATAAGGAAACAAGCCAGGCAGAGGTAGTCTTTCAAATTCCTCCAAGTGCCTCATCCAGTACTTCTTATTTGCCAGCAACTATATGAGGCACTTTTTGTAGGGGACCCTACTT